CCACCTCTTCCCTCTGTTTCACCATTTGATGTGCCTCAGAGGCATATATAGCTCCTCCTTTTTGAATCTACATTCTGCTTTGAGCCCTACATTGAGCACTCCTGGCTTGGTCTGCCACTCTGATATTATCAATATATTCCATAGCTAATGCTCCTGATTGTGCTAGGGCCAAGCCCCCTTGTAGAATGAGCTTGAGGCATTGCTGAAAGTCAGGTGGAAGATCTTTAGCATCATCAAGGAGCTCTTCACCCTGGGTTTTAAGACTTGCAATCATAAGTAGAATGCTGGCAAGTGATGCAGGAACTGATATTTCATAATTGATATGGGTAGGAGCTACCTCACGTAGTTTTGAAAGGACAAGCTCAGGATTATATGGTATAAGGCTGGTGGCATGGAAAGCTGATTGAACAGTAGATACCTTGAATGTTTGTTGGCAGATGGAATGAATCTGATCAAGAAATTCCACTTTGTTAAAGTCTCCGCATCGCATTCATGTCACAGCTTCAACTGCCTGAGAATAGTAATGCTTGTATGGCTGAAAGACTACTACATCTAATGGCTGAAGGAGATGGCTTGAATGAGGTGGAAGACAAAATGCAATAATTTTATAAGTATCACAATAGTCAAGGAACTGCTTGGTGCAATGTGAGTCAAATCCATCAAGGAGTAGAAGCCTGTATGATCCAACTTATTGCAATGCTGAGAATCTTTGAAAATGAGCAAGTCACTTAATGGTCAAATCATCATTATGGTAACCACTTTCGGAGGTGCCAACCAAGTACTACCAAATTTCACAAGTATCCGGATGCCTTGGCGCCAAGGTATTTTTTGCCCAAATCATGAATGTGCCGGGGATGATCATATTGAAACCATTAACTATCCATGAAATTTATTCCCTCCCTTTTGGCTAATACATTGAGCTAGAATACTAGGTAGTTTAGATACTTCCCTATTAATTTCCTCTTTTGTGATCCTTTCCCATTCTTGCTTCAAAATTAATTTCATTTCCCCAGCTGTAGTCACCCTTTCAACACCTCTCCGGGTTTGAATCATAGACTTCATTATGTTCCATAAGTGTTCTATTGGGTTTAAATCAGGTGAATTAGGTGGCCAATCAACCTTATTAATCCCCTCCTTTGTTCACTCATAGTTGGTAAAGTCCGAATCATGTACCGGAGCATTGTCTTCCATCAAGAGAAAGTCTGGGCAGACCAATTTTCGTGCAAGGCATATGGGCCACAATAGTGGGCGAGCAAGATCAGTTACATACCGCCATAAGTCTATACCCTTTGAATCCCCCCTCTTTAGCTTCTTAATCTTAAACTTCTTACCTCTCCATGACTGAGTAGTTTTCGTCTTAACACCAGCAAGGGAAGCAAGGAGACGGGCTTCACGAGCATTGGCCAATTCTCCTCTCCGTAATTCCTTCCACTCCTCTGATGCTCGCCATGCTGTATTAAGGCGAGATTCTTCTTCCCCGCAGTTCTCATTATACCTCAGGATCTTGCTCGTTGCAGTCACCTTTTCCTCCTCAGTTTCACTCTCCCAAACCCAAAATGGGCCTTTCCATCCATAGGATATCATTCCCCAGCACATAATCGAAGCACCTTGCTTTTTCTTTGCACCTATGCAATCATCTGCCCACCGCTCACTCTTTTCCCTCCAAATCAAACATGGCCCGTAGAGACCCCCGATCTCGATTGACATCTCATCTGTAAATGCGTAATTGGTCCACTGTTCTGCTGGCTGCCACCCGGCCCGTGGTTCACAGTATTCCTTTTATATAGTTAGTATTACTTGTAACTCTTATTTAATATTATATACTGTAAAAACTCGAATAGAAGATAAATGTACTAGGACGTTGGAATTTCCTTTCTGAGCTATATGAGGAGAAAACACCCACACGAAGCCCTCAGTTGGGACGAAACAAAAGGAATATAGAAGGCACCTTACTCAGAAAGGCAATCACAACATCCTAGTATATTTTTCTTCCAAGTCTATTCGAGTTTTTATAGTATTGGAGTCAATTACTTACCAACCGCTTCTTTTGGTTTTCCTTACTCAAAATAAATTTGAATACCTCGGGGTATGCGCCAATTCCCCGCTCCTGCAATGCCCGAAAAACTGTTGTCTTGCACACATGTGACAAGCCAGCCTCACGCTGAATATCACATAGAGTCATTCTCCGCATGATAAAGTCCTTCTTCACAAGCTTGATAAGCTTATCCTTATCACTTTCACTCAAGGAAGGAGGGCGGCCACTACGAGGATCAGAATCCAAAACCGAAGCAGATATTAATTCTATTAGGCTGAATTCCTTATCAGATATGAGGGTGCTTGAAGGGCCTGGAATAGATATCTGAGTGGGAGTGCTTGTAGGTGGGAGAACTTTAAGCACAGGGGCCTGAGGTACGGTACATAGATGTGCGGTAGCTGAAAGAGCAGCAGCCAAAGGGGCAGCAGACAGAGAAGCTAGAGGAGTGGTTGGAGGAAGAGTGGTGGGTATAGGCGTGATGGTGGTGACAGCAAGTCAGGCACTTCTGGCATTTGCTAAGGCATGCTGCCAAATATCGGAGACGGTGGAAGTAGAAACACCAGTGATATCTTCGATTTTCTTAAATGTTATGGGAATATTCAGACACCTTAAGGTGACTATGGCTGCCCGGCGCCGTGGGGTGATTTCCTTTCCCTCTTGATTATTAGTATAAGCTCCAAGGGGTGATAAAGTAGTATTCTGAATATTTCTTTACCTTTCTTAACAATAGCACGCACCATCCTGGAAACTTGCTCACTGTCGTACTAGTATAACAAATAGGGGTGATGTTGTAGGACGTGAGGAACTTGAATAGTATGGATGCGGGAAACTGCAACCTGGCTTCTTGGGGATATCTTGGCACCGGGCAAAAATATCTTGGCGCCAAGGCATCCGGATACTTGTGAAATTTGGTAGTAGTCATCTGGGATACTGGTTGAGGTGTACCAGGGCTGTTGGTGGATAACACAAGGCACAATAATCATAGGAGGCAAGACTGCACCATCGCCACTAATTGTTTCACAAATACTGACAAGTTCACGATTGGTGGAGCTTGGAAGGTATCCTTGACAATTTGGATCTCTCATAATGATCTATTGGTCTCGTCCTATTCCAATAGGGAAGCCAGTTTCGTCAAAGTTCTACCGACCCACCTCTTGAATATCATACTGGATGCAAACCTCACGATATTGTTCAAACCAGGCTTGAATGGCAACTGGCTGATGTACATGTTTTCGATTGGCATCAATCGTTTGTTGCTTTCAAATAAAGTACTATGGATGATGATTCAAAAACTGAGGTGCCCACTGAGCACTGATGGTAGGAGCTGGTCCTGGCCCCATATGGGTATATTGGAGTATCGCATTTGCACAGCTGGACACCATTGACTGGCAGGCACTTGTTCCTATCTTGTCAAGATGGTCGAGATACTGGCAAACTGACAGTTCTTGATCATCAGACAGCTTATGGTTTGTCCCAGGTCATTCTTGACATGATTGTCGACCATGCAAACATGCGCATAGTCAGGTAATAGGTATTTTATAGGTGTAAGCAACTGCGGCAATATTTGGATTCTGGTTTTCGGAAGACTGAATGAAGTCAATAGCTGTCTAGAGCTGTATTTCGATTTCTGCATAAGGTTCAACCCTGTAGCTTGGGAGAATAAAGGCTATTGTTGGTGGTATAATTTGTGGTGGGTGAAATATTCTGCAATGTTGTCTTAAGATGTTGCGAAAACCTCACTTATCCTACTGGGTTTTCTTGGTTTATAAAATAATATTGCATTACACTACAAAACTATGTTGAGCCACAAAGTTGTGTTTAGCCACAAAGTTACTATGGTAGGCCACAAAGTTGTGTTGAGCCATAAAGTTGTGTTGAGCTGTCAGGCACTCTGTAGGAGTGCTCCAGGTTGTGGCTGGCAGCCACAACCTCGACACAAGTAAGTTGTTTTAAGCTACAAAGTTGGGTTGAGCCGCAAAGTTGTGTTGAGCTGGCAGGCACTCTTTAGAGTGCCCCAGGTTGTGAGCCTGCAAACATCTGGGGGATATGACCAATACCACAACCTTGGTACAGTTACCAGTTAGTGAGACCCAACACACCCAGCTCGCCCAAACCATACCCTATCTGGAAAACACAATTCCTTCATAGTGCATTTCACCTCTCACTGCAGAGACACAAGGCCCCCTTGAGGTGCTGGATTCAACAATTACTGGTAAATAGGGTACCAGTATGATACTGGTAGGGGAGGCAACTCCATTGTCCTTGCACATTCTCTCTTTATTTGTATTTTTACAGTAGGGTACTGAAAAAACAAATTCTCGACAGGTCAGGTCCAGAGCACCAAATGAGAACAGATGGACAGGTCATGGCTTCTCAATCACTAATAACAACTAAACAAAAATTCCCACAGTAAACAGGTTCACTCAATGTAAAAGAAAACAGCCAAACTTCAATTCTGTAGAAACAATCGCCTAATGACATGTTTGAAATCCACAATGAACCCCAAAAAGAAAAATCAATGCAAACTAAAGAAAGTCCAACTGATCCCAGTTGTCCAACTATCTATGCTGAATTCCTCTAAGTACAACTTTCCCATTGTCTTCCTATACCTCTTCCATGGTGTTCGTTCCTCTGTCAGTCTATCATCCTTTGTTCCCTGTTTCTGACTAAGGTGTGGGGATAAACCTTTTATATAGGCCTGTCCTTATAGGCCATATAAGCTAACAAACAAACTAGCAAACAAATGATGACGTGTCCCCAGTCTATGTATATAGGCTGTGTAATCCCCCCCAATTTCTAGCTAAATAGAGTTCCTTGACAAATAATGATTTGGTTCTGGCAAACTAACTACCCTGTGATTAAAAATGCAGAATCAGATTTTTCTCCTCACAGTACTGATATCTGACTAACATAACAATGTTCCAGTTAAGATTCCATGTGGGAGTTTAATTAACTTATGTCATGAGGTTTCGTGGTATACTTGGTTATCACACCTGTCTAACATACTAGTGGTCCTGTGTTCGAGCCCGGGCGAAATCATTTTTGCCATGCCTTGCAGGAGGTTACCCACCCAATGCCTTATTCTCTGCTGTTAACTTTTGAGGGTTTGTGCCAGCTACTTGTAGCAAGGTTGTAGCTGCCAGCCACAACCTGGAGCACTCCTACAGAGTGCCTGACAGCTCAACACAACTTTACAGCTCAACACAACTTTGTGACTTACCATAGTAACTTTGTGGCTAAACACAACTTTGTGGCTCAACACAGTTTGTAGTGTAATATAATATTATTTTGCAAACCAAGAAAACCCAGTAGGATAAGTGAGGTTTTCGCAACATCTTAAGACCATATTGTGGACCATTTCACCAACCACAAATTATACCACCAACACCAGCCTTTATTCTCCCAAGTCAGAGGGTTGAGCCTTATGCAGAAATCGAAATATGCATCCAGGCAGCTATTGACTTCATTCAGTCTTCTGAAAACCAGAATCCAAATATTACCACAGTTGCTCACACCTATGAAATACCTATTACCTGACTATGCGCATGTTTGCATGGTCGACAATCATGTCAAGAACAACCCAGGACAAACCATAAGCTGTCTGATGATCAAGAACTGACAGTTTGCCAGTATCTCGACTATCTTGACAAGATAGGAACAAGTGACCACCAGCCAATGGTGTCCAGCTGTGCAAATGTGATACTTCAATATACCCATATGGGGCCAGGACCAGCCTGTACTGTCAGTGCTCTGTGGGCACCTCAGTTTATGAATTGTCATCTGGAGTACATTATTTGGAAGCAACAAACAATTGATACCAATTGAAAATATGCACATCAGCCAGATGCCATTCAAGCATGGTTTGAAAAATATCTTGAGGTTTGCATCAAGTATGATATTCAAGAGGCTGATTGGTACAACCTTGACGAAACTGGCTTCCATATTGGAATAGGACAGGACCAATAGATCATTATGAGAGATCCAAATCGTCAAGCATACCTTCCAAGCTCGACCAATCGTGAACTTGTCAATGTTTGTGAAACAATTAGTGGTGATGGTGCAGTCTTGCCTTCTATGATTATTGTGCCTGGTGTTATTTACCAACAGTCCTGGTACACCTCAACCAGTATCCCAGATGACTACTTGGTCGGCACCTACAAAAGTGGTTACCATAATGATGATTTGACCATTAAGTGACTTGCTCATTTTCAAAGATTCTCAGCATTGTGACAAGTTGGATCATACAGGCTTCTACTCCTTGATGGATTTGGCTCAAATTGCACCAAGCAGTTCTATGACTATTGCAATACTTATAAAATTATTGCATTTTATCTTGCACCTCATTCAAGCCATCTCCTTCAGCCATTAGATGTAGTGGTCTTTCAACCATACAAGCATTACCATTCTGAGGCAGTTGAAGCTACGACACGAATGGGATGCGGAGACTTTAACAAAGTGGAATTTCTTGATCAGATTCATTCCATCCACCAACAAACATTCAAGGTATCTACTGTTCAATCAGCTTTTCATGCCACCATCCTTATACCATATAATCCTGAGCTCGTCCTTTCAAAACTATGCGAGGCAGCTCCTACCCCTATCAATCATGAAATATCAGTTCCTGCATCACTTGCCAGCATTCCACTTACGATTGCAAGTCTTAAAACCCAGGGTGAAGAGCTCCTTGATGATGCTAAAGATCTTCCACCTGACTTTCAGCAATGCCTCAAGCTCATTCTACAAGGGGGCTTGGCCCTAGTACAATCAGGAGTATTAGCTATGGAACATATAGATAATACCAGAGCAGCAGACCAAGCCAGGAGTGCTCAAAGCACGACTCAAAGAAGAAGGCAGATTCAAAAAGGAGGAGTTATATATGCCTCCAAGGCATGTCAAATGGTGAAACAGAGGGAAGAGGTAGAGGTTGAAAAAGCAGAGCAACAGTTGTGTAAGGCACAAAATGCACAGAAAAGAGCACAGTAAGCTCAGCATAAACCCTTCCTCAACGAGATAAAAGCAAAGGCAAAGGAGATCAATGCAACGATAAAGTCAAAGGCAAAGGAAGAGGTAAAGGCCATGACTACTATTCAGGCATATGAAAACAAAGTATCTAGGCTTATTGTTAAGGGAATTAAGCAACATGTAAAGTTGCTGAAATAAATATGTAATAGAATACTAGTCTATTATGTACTGGAGTAGTTTTCTTGGCATGTACAACTAAGACATCCAAGCCTCACAACATAATGCCACAATAAACCAGGATAGAATAAGCCACACTCCAAGTTAGTCAAAATTGAAAACAATAATGGTGCAAAAAATAAATAATATAGAGTAAAACAATCAATATGAAATTGAATGATAAAAATACAAATATTTTTAAAGAAAAATATATATAAAGTATGAAATCCTTGAGGTATTGAAATTATGGCAAGAACTGATAACCGATGAGGGCTTCTATACTTACATAAGCAAAGGTAATAGTGCAAAAGCTGGTGCACGCGTTCTGTCAGTAAATTTGCATACTAAAGATACATTACCATACACATCCTGACTACTACATTTATATTGTACTGGAGTTGCTTTCTTGGTGTGTACGACTAAAACATCCAAGCCACAATATAATAAAATACAACAACAAACCAAGATAGAATAAGCCACACTCCAATTCAAAAAAGAATGCATATAATGGAAAAAATAAATAATATACAGTAAAAACATGAATGTAGAATTGTATAATAAAAATAAAGAAAATGTTAAAAAGAAACTAGAAAAATATACATAAATTAAAAGATCTGGATTTTGAGGTAATAATTCATAACCAACTCCTATACTTATGTAAGCAATGCAAAAGTTGCAAGAACCATTGCACACATTCTGCCAGTAAAAACAAGTAAAAGAGATGATACAGCATACACCTTTACAACTACACAATATAAAGTATTATTATAATATTATTATTCCTTACATTATATTCAGACAAAATATACAGTATTTCATACTATATTACATTATATTTATCACATTTGGTAAGAGTTTATATTTCCATTTAGTATAAGTAGTGAGCATATGGTTGTGTAACTAATAAGTGCACATAGCACAATGTCAAACCAATAATGCAGTAGGTGTAAACAGCATAAGAGCCCATCAGAATTTGATAGATATAGCCATGGATAAATTTATAAAATATATAGAGACTGTTTAGTAAGTTTTAATATCCTTTCACATAAAATAACAAATATTATGATGTGTATAAAGTTACTAATAGGGCAAAGGCCAAACATCTGATACCCTGGAGAAAGGGACCAATACAGAGACTACAGAAGATAGATATTAAGGGAGAGAATGAATCAGTTATAGAGGTATGTCAAGTAAAGTAATACTTAAAATTAAATGAGCTAATATGAAATAGAATGCAAATATAGAAACTTACATACTATTATTACCAATATGGAAATACATACTTGAAGCAACAATACTACTTACATTTATCATGAAGTGAGCAAGGTAGAAAGCATTGAATTTAGGACAAATGAACATGCTTTGTGATTTTTGTAATGTAAAACATTGGTTCAATAAGCACACATCAAGAAGTACAACAATATAGTTAGTTTTCAAACAATGTTATAAGAAAGGTACAGTTCATTTGCCACTCCTATTGCCTCCACCAGAGCTACTCCAATCATTGATGAAAATCTAAGACTATATAAGTCAAGTATTTTGCAATAAAATTCAAGGATATAACTCTGCACTTTTTTTTACTTTGAGTAAATATCAAGCAGATATATGTATAGTAACCTGGAAACCAGGAGTTCAATGCTTTCAGATTCATAGTGAGCTATATTATTTACAGAGTTCACTAGAACCTGTACTACATGGTATATCTCAATTTGCATAACTATTCCTGTATAATTTACAATATGCTATTATTATATGGTTTACACCTTCTTGAACAACTTACACTCATATTGGATGAGTGCAATCTATTTATTTGCATATATCAAACAGCAAATGAAAGATTAGATACTGCAAATATTAATGCTGCTGATAGGATAACATGAATAGTATTAAACTCACAACTACAACTAATTGTTGAATCAGGAGCAGATAAGTGAAGATACAACTTGTCAACTGGTAATGAGGTGGCTATAATTATTAGAAATGAATATACAGAGAGTGGATTTTGTGACATTATTTTAGCATCAAGAAGTAATGATAATAGACTACATTTTTCTATAATAAATGGGAATCATACTTCATATATACCTTTGCACTATATGTTATTCTTTTCAAGAGGTGAATTTGGTTATCATTGGGTGCTACAATTGCAGGATAATTCTACAGTCAAAGAGGATCCTTTTTATTTTCTTACCAGTCTGTATTGATTTCTTAGCTTTATTAAGGGTTAGGTTTTATTTTATTTTTACACTCTACAGATACTTGCATGGCGAGTACACAGCTGAGGGTAGGGTGAGTGCACAGCTGAGGGTACAGCAAGTGCAGTATGAGTACACAGCTACTCACACTGAGGGGTGCACAGTTAATCACACAACAAACCAAGCTCAACATATGACCAGCCACCCTCGAGTTCTCGCGGGCCTTTTGCTAGTACTACTTTACTAGAGTATTGTACTACAAAATAATATTATATTACACTACAAAACTGTGTTGAGCAACAAAGTTGTATTTAGCCACAAAGTTACTATGGTAAGCCACAAAGTTGTGTTGAGTGGTAAAGTTGTATTGAGCTGTCAGACACTCTGTAGGAGTGCCCCAAGTTGTGAGCCAGTGAACATCTGGGAATTGTGGCTGGCAGCCACAACCTTGGCATGAGTATGCAATAGTTGTAGTAGTCCATAGGGCATGTGATGACTTGGTTTTATATGTTGACACATGTCATAGTTTTTAACATATCGCTTAATGTCTTGGCACATGTTGGGCCAGTAGTATATTCGTTGTGTCAATTTCAATGTTTTGGCTATTCTGCCATGTCCATTTTGTAGTGTAATGTGATTCCTTCTGATTGCTTCAGTTCTTATTGG